TCTAGAAGAACTGAGCCGGTAGGGATTGGGCTTCAGGTTTTGAAAACGGAATGATTTCTGATCACAAAGAGGCTCCTGTGTAACGCACCCAATAGCAACAGAGCTGAGGCTGCACTTGTAATCAGAAACCAACTTAATGGCTCTAGCAAAGAGATCTGTAGCGCTTGATTCAGCATGCTGCTATGTGCTGACAAAACTAGAGCTTTCTCTTTGAAGTGTTGTGTGGCTGTATATGTTCTTCTTGGTTCTGAGCTGAATTTACATGTTTTTTTAGACACGCACCCTGAAGATCAGAAATCCCGCTTACAGGAACAGCTGTCTTCATCTTCACCATTCAGGTGAGCCTCTCTGTGAATTAAATTGGGCTTTTGGTAGAAATTTGTGTATTCTCTGCCTGCATGAGATACATTCTTGTTTTCCATGCTGAGGAGGCGAAAGAGGCAATATGAAATCCCACTCCCTTCATCCTGTAGTTTGATATAAGAAATAAACAGCCATGTAACCTTTTTTTTTTTTTTCCCTACAGGGTAATTGTTTTGGATCAGAGCTCTCCTACATGATTAAACTGGATGGTGAATAAGTTCTAAGATCGCCTGCTTCCTGCTGCTTGTACAGGATACAGCCTGAGAATTGCAACCCTTCTTGGCCATGTAAACAATTGTAAAGCTCAGACTTCCTTCAACTGCAGCAGCAAGTACAGAAGAAAATCTAATGCTCTACTTTGTAATACAGTTTGTACTGGTTTTACGCCATCATTGCATGTAAAGGCAGTATCAATAATATCGCAGAACTGAACTGTTTTCTGAATATAACATCCTTATGAAGCTGGCTACGTGGTGGGTTCTCTTTTCTGCGCATGCACGCTTTCAGAAGCTAAAGAATTTCTTGCTCTGTTGCATTATGCAATTTTCAGTGTTAGGGACAAAATGATTGTAATTCTGTGGACTGCTGTTACTGCTCAGGCACTTAAATTTTTCCATGCTGGAGTGTGGAGCACTGTTACAGCCCATGTAGTGTATGTTTTTCCTTGCTCATTAAATTTAACAAGGTAATTTCTTGTTTTCTCTTTTCTTAGTGCTTTTGTGATCTAGCGTTGAACTGATTTGACTGATTAAGGGGATTAATTGCTGTGCAAAAAGCTAATGAGGAAAAGGCAGTGTTCTCCAGAGACTGCAAATGCAGCAATACGTTCCCTGCCAGCATTAGACAAGAATATGAGAAAATCTGGTTAGTATTATGAAGATACCTGTTGTTTAATTAAACCACGCTTTTGGTAGGCCTCACCAAAAAAAAAAAAAGTCCCTGCATATAATTGAGCTTTTTGGATCAGGATTTTGATGGGCACAGCAACTTCATATTTAACTTTTCTTGTGATAAATACCGTTCAGGTGCAGGAGGTGTGAAGATTGTCCTTGTCCCTTTTTAACAAACACTGGGATTTTAGCTGCCTTCGTACAGCTGGGTGTACCACATGGCGCCCTTTCCTTGCTGTTCATGTAGGGAAATGCTGCTTATCTGCAACTGTTAGTTAATTTGGTTTAACAATACCAATAAAAGTTTCCAAGGTTATTGTGCTGCCATGTGGTTCTTTTTCTGGTTTTGGAGGTTCTTTTTTGGGGTTCATTTTTGGTTGGTTTGTTTGGGTTTTTTTTTTTTACTTGTTATTAACTATGTTTCCCATCATCAGACTATGTATGCAACTAGACACCGATAGAGCTACTCCAGGGAAGATGGTGCAAGCTGGCAGACGTGGGGGAGCTTTCTTCAGAAAAGATCAAGACAAAATAAAAATCTTTCATCCATTCAGTCACGTTATGGTAGTGCTAAAGCTAGAGCAGGAGCGGCAGCAGCAAGGAGGCTGCAGTTTGGGTTCTGCAGCTCAGGTTAACAGCAGTGCCAGTGCAGGGAAACGGGGCTCACTTTTCTGCGTTAACACAATTCTGTCCAGGCAAAAGTTTAATATTTTCTAACCTGGGCTCATATCAACCGCAGGTACCCAGTTTTCTGCGTGTGTGAGTTCTGTATCCTTGCTGCAGGCAGAAAAACGTTATATTCTTGATAGAAGCTGCTGGAACAAGATCCTACTTTACATCGGCCGGGGGCTTTGCAAAGCGTTGCGTTACCCTGCAGCCTGTTGCAAGGAACAGAGGGTAATGGCAAATGCATGCGAAAGCCAAATGGCGAATCTGTTGTGCCATGCTGTCCTTAGTGGCTTGTGACCCATAACCGACACATAGCCGAGGGTCATTCCCTCTCGCTTTGGGCAATGTTTTGTTATGTTTCATAGACTTGCTTAAATAAAAAGTAATTAAAACTTGTAGGGCTGCAGCAGTGTGGTGGAGTGGAGCAAGCGCACGTGCATTTTTACATGCACATAATTATACATCACTTTGGTTTGCGACGTGAAATCTCCTTAGCTTCTTGGATTTCTCTTTCTATTTTATCTGTCAGACCAAATGGTGAGCAGAGTGTGAACCATTTCCCTCTTTTTTTTTTTTTTTTTTTAATCTTAAAGTGGAGAATTTTTATTTCTGTTGGTAGAGAGCCCTTCAAGTGATCCCATAGCCTGTCTGCTCTCCTTATCGAGGCCAGAACGCAGCAGTTAGAGACTGCAGTTTTTCAGCTGCTTGTACTTTTCCAGATTTAAGTTTAGCATGAATGTAAATCATCCTAATAACACAAAGCATGGACACAAAAGCTGTAATTAACAGGAACAATTAAACAAGGACCAGCGAAAGACAGCAGAGAAGATCAGAGGGGGCCCATCTAATGCTGCTTTTTAGCTTCCCAGAGACTGAAAGGCCAATTAATTAAATTAAAACAGTGATCCTGAGCTGTTCTAATTCCTCTCTGAGCCGCTAGCGTGCGAGCCGTTTTGCATGTAGGAAAGCGAGCAGAGAGAGGAAGGTGGGGACACGGGGATGGGGGCGAGGATGGGTGTCCTGTCTCCCTGCACCGGGGACGTGGCCCTGCCTGTAGATACTGTATTTCTCTGGAGGCGCTTGCAGGACCCTGTGGTAAATTTGGGTGAAGACAAGCAAGAAGAAAAGCAAATGTTCGTTCCCTAAGCAGCCGTGTTTCAGCTCCCTTGTACCTGTCATCGTACTGGTCTTAGTTTGGGGATTTTTGTTTTGTTCTTGTTTTGGAGCAGAGAATCTCAGAGGAAAAAGCCCTCGGTCTCCCAAATCTCATCATCATCTGTCCCAGTCCAAATTGTCTTTCTGACTGCCTATTACCAGGTGGTAATAGACAATTGACTATGAAGGCAGACAAGCTGCTGACAGCATTTTTTAAGATAGAGGAATTTGATAAAACAGAGTCTCAGGGGATTGCTCTCTGCGGTATTGTCTTGCACTTAGAAGCCTTATCCGTAGGCTCCTAAACCACACAAGCTGCGTCGCAGTCCAGAAGTGTAATTGCAGCTGGTGCAGATAAGCATTGCATTTTGAGATTCAAGACCAGGTGTGTAGCTGTGGAACCCCAATGGAGGGGTTTTTTTGTCTTTTTTTTTTTCTTACAGGCTTTGGCGTCTTTTGCTTTCTGTTAACGCCCCGGCTGTTCGGGCAGCAGTGGCTCTGCTGTGCCTTGCCCTCGGGGCCTGTTACAACCTGCCTTTTCACCCTTGCTGGGAAATCAGTGGGTTTAAGGCCTTTCCTTATTGCCTTAAATATAAAAAAAATATATTGAATATGTGAACGGGTTTTTTTTTTCCTGCTATCTGTTGTGACGGCACATGTGGCACTTGCCACGAGAGAAGACATGCCAGCCGTAGTAGTGGAAGGTAAAGTGTTTTCTGTCGAACCCTCTATCAGCCAGTAAAATAGATGCATATGAACTTGTCAATGTTTATTAATGTTCATTAACGCGGTCTGCACTTCAACATACCTGCTGGATTTTTGCCAGTTTCACAGCGTGACCTCGAACTTCCCAGCGAGATTGGGCAATGCAAATAGGACTCGGCCTACCTAGGGATGGCGAACGCGCGGCTGTGTCCTACGGGCCGCTTTGGAGGTGGCATCACAGCGGGACCGTGTTCAGCCTGACGCCGGGGCTGAACAGCAACTTGGGATGTTTTGCATCGAGGAAAAATTACTGTTGGTTTTTTTTTTGTTCTTAAAAGACTCCTGATTCCCCGAGGCGAGGGGCTGGAAGGGAGGGGTGTTTCCTTAGGAGAGCAAAATAAAAGTTTGCAGTTTGTCCCATGACAGGGTGGCTCCTCTCCCGCAAGAAGACGGTGTCGTGTCTTTCTGGGGAGCACCATGAAGGCTGCTGGGGACCTCTCTAACCAAGAGCCACCCACCTCCTGGGCATGGGGAGCAGCTGCAGCATCGGGGCCCTTCTCTGTGCCCGTCTTGAACGAGGCTGGGTGGGACAGGCTGAGCCCGAAGCTGACGTTGGTGCAGGCAGCATCTGGCAGCAGTTAGACAGGGCGAGAGAGTGTCACCTATTCCGCAGCCCGTTTGCAGCGACGCCTGCGTGGGGGCCGGGTGCAGCCGGAGCGGTTTTTCCCATCTGCCGGGGTGGTAACCACAGCACACCATTTTCAGCAGCAGCTCTGACACTGAGCAGGGAAGGGACGGGTTACGTGTCGTGGCAGAAGCTGGTGTCCACCTTGAGACTTGGAGGCAGAGGCTGAGGGATGGACGTGTGTTGTATTTTGGGTGAGATCTGTATCAATTCCCAGCCCAGCTCTTTGCAGACCCTGGCAGTCTACTGACAATAAAAGTACCATTCTGTTTGCTTCGTGTGTTCAGTGAGCAGTTTGTGATCTAAAATTAGGTTGCCTGACCCCATAAAATCATGGAAGCAGAAAATGAGCTCTTGTTCAGGTTCGGAGGCTGCTCCCTCCCTTTCTATTTTATTCCCCAAAATCTTGCTGCTTATACAGCAACTCCCCGATCAAGCCTGCATCTGTGCTTCCAGATAGGATAGATGGTTCCTCCACATTTTATGAGGCCATTAAGTTGTTCTCCAGAAGCCCTGGTGAAGCTGTGGTTTCGTTAGCTAATGGCTTTCTCTCTCACCTGTTTGTTCATGAAGATGTAGATGATTGGATTGTAAACCGTGGCGGTCTTGGAGAAGTAGAAGGGCAGGGATGTGAGAGCTGGCTGGATGGCGATGTCTTTGTTGGCGGCCACCACAAGGGCAAACGTGGTGTAGGGCAGCCAGCAGATGAGAAAGAAAGGCCACCACCATCGCAATCACCATGCGTGTCACCCCCTGCTCCGCCTGCTGCGTCGTGTCCGTTCCCTGCTGCTGTGCCGCAGCCTGCGGGGAGTATTGAAGAGACAGAGATGCCTGCTTAACAACTTCCAACAGCATTTCCATCCCTTAGGTGCCCTGACATCAGCGCCAGGACGTGTCAGCTCCATCAGCTGTCACAAAAACCTGCTGTGAGGCTCTTCATCCCGATGGAGATGTGCCTTGCCAGCATTTTGTGAGCGGAAAACCATTAACTCACCTGTACTCGCCGTACTTACCGCTCGCAGGGTCATCAGCAGATCGGTGTAGGAGAAGAGAATCAGGGTGAGGGGCATCACGAAGCAGGTGACAAACAAGGCCAAGATGTAGCTGTTGTTGCTGCCACCGGTGTACCAGTTGGGCCCGCAAGAGGTTCTCAGACCTGGAACAAATAGGTTTTGAAACAAGCCTAAACCGATCCTGGGCTTGGATAGAGGCTCAGTAACAGGCTCCAAAATAGCAAGCGCTGGCTTAGCCCCTCTTAGTGATGCTGCCCAAGCACCTCTCACTTTTCCATCCCCAATGACCTGGAGATCAGCCACTGCAGTTTTTGGCCGGCCGACTGCTCTAGGGAGGAGGGTGATTTGTTGTGGCGTGCAGCGTTATACCAAGCCTTTACGTAAGCAGATCTGGGCTGGTGTGTGCTAGGTGCCGCTCGGTGCGCTCCGGCAGCCAGAGCAGCTCGTGGCTCCGATGTCCATCAGATGTGTAAGAACGGCTGCAGCGTGTTGTGCAGTGGGTAACTTCTGAAGAACGACCTCCGAGAGATGACTATTGACTGAGTAAGCAGGAGGTGTTAACATTTTAAATACCAGACTAGACACTCTCCAGCTGCCCTGCACTTGATACGCAAGAAGCAGCTGTGGAGTTAAGCTCATGTCTGAAGCGCATCTCCCCTACCTTCAGGCACATAGCTGCTCAGCCCAGGAGCGGTGGGGTCATCCAGAGCAGTGACCAGCTCCATGTGGAGGTGCAGCCGCTGACAGCGTGCCGGTGCTGGAACCGAAAGTCTTCCAAGGGTCTGCAGACCACAATGTACTGCCCGAAGGCCAGGATGGCCAGGGACCACAGCCCCACGATGCCTGGGAGGAGGAAGAGGAGGGCTTGTGTCCTAGGAACAGGCTCTGCTGCCGCTCTGCTGCCTGTGCTGGGACATGGCAGACGGTGATTACGAACTGTTGAAGTAAATATGTTGTAACAAGATGTCAGATGTTTTTCTTATGGCAGGGAGAGCTGTGAGGATATTTGGCCCTTAAAAATGAAGTTGGCAATTGGGTAGCTGTGACGCATTGTGGTTACGACCACGGTTTCTGCGCTGGAGTGTCCTCGACGAAAGGTTTTGCGCAGTGTTTCATGTTTCTGTTGCACACACAAACATCTGTGCTTACACAGCAGCCAGCACCCACGAAGCACATCCCAAGCGAGGACTCCCTATGTGCCCAAGTGACATTTCCCTCCCTATAAAGACCAAGACAGAGCGTGTGGTGACCTGGCACAGCCAACCACCTACTTGAGCCTTCCCTGGGCTAAAGAATAGCTGAAGGACATGAGTTTTACAATGACAGCATTGCCTTTAGGAGAAGCAGCAAGTTGATGAAACATTCCCCAAAGCGTCTTTGCTAAATGCAATGGCACCAAGCAAAGACCAAGACAGGTCTCGAGAGTCGTGTTCTTACCTGTCAGGGAGACCATGAAGGCCTCCAGCTCGCACATCTGTTTGCCGAACATGAAGAAGCCATTGAAGTTGTTGGAGAAGCTGACGGGGCTGCCGCAGAGCGTCACCAGCAGGTCGGCCACGGCCAGGTTCACCAGGACGTAGTTCAGGGGTGACTGGAGCTTCTTGTACCTGATGGAAACCATGATGACCGAGCCGTTCACAACCAAGGCGGAGACCACAACGATGCCCGTCAGCACGGCCACTGGCAGGTACATGCCCTGTGGAGCCTGGTGGGGCCACTGGGGGCTATCAAAAGGACCCAGGGTCCCGTTATTTGGGGGCTCCTGCAAGCTGCTGGAGGAGCTCATCAGTCTTCTTCTGGAGCACCAGCACCGGTGGAGCTGATGCAGGTGACTCTCCCCTCTTTATAAAGCAGGAGGGCCCGACACACCCCGGAGGAGCTTTGCATTAAAATACCTTAAGCTTTTTTTAATCTGCAGGTCTTCCTGCCCTCCCTTTTTATAATCAGCTCTTTATTCTGGAGGGGATAAAGAGTGACAAAATCTGATGACTGAACGGTGCGTCATTTAATTGAGTAAATAGATTTTTTTTTTTCCCTTGTGCCTCCCACCTGCCTCCCCCCGTAAGCGTAACCCCCCG